AAGCAATTCTTTTCAATAAAGCAGTAATGAATAAATCTGCATGTATTAGTTCTTGCACAGACTGGCTGTATGTCTAATTGGCCATGTGTATTCGCTACCGAAGATTTAGAGCCAGATTATTCTGAGTATAACTCAAGGATGTGTCTGTGTGTGTTGCTTTCTTAATAAGGAGATTGGCTTTTTGAGGAAGAAATTTAGACAGGACCTGGCTGAGATCTAAGTGGCTCTGCTCAGCAGTTAGAGGTTTGTCTGGATTTCGTACTCATCCCAATTTCCGGCACCCCCATAAATCTTGGAGATAAGGGGCTGCTTACATGGTGGCAGCGGTGGGATGAAACACGGGCTTTGATTTATTGTGTTTACTTTGGCTTAAGTTGAAAGCAGCAAGCATCTCGATGCATGTGCTTTTCACAGCTGAAACTCCCAAGCCTTGGCAAAGGGGTTTCTTCCACGCTATTACTACACTACACTGGCAAATAGTAAAGGCTTGGTGTGTAAGCAAAATGAATGGATTTGGACATTTTAAAAACCGAGCACATGGTACAAAGGCCAATGCAAATCAAGCCGGGCCCTTGCTTCAGGTGAATTTTAAATAAATAAATAATAAATAAATACAATCTCATTATGCCTGCAACTACACTGGCAAATAGTAAAGGCTTGGTGTGTAAGCAAAATGAATGGATTTGGACATTTTAAAAACCGAGCACATGGTACAAAGGCCAATGCAAATCAAGCCGGGCCCTTTTTTTGCTTCAGGTGCAGAATTTCCTCCCTCCCTTATGGCTGGGGGCTTTAACTTTTTTTAAAAAAGCTGAAGTGATTTGAACAATGTGTGGCCAATTGTTTAATTATCCAAAAGAATGGGGTGCAGGACTGTGACTGTCAAAGGCATCTGAGTGACATACTAAGCTGGATGCAATGGGAATACCAGGTTTAGCGCTAGATCACTTCTGCACAGACAAGAAAGAGAGAGAGAGAGAGAGAGAGAGAGAAGCAAGCAAGCAAGCAAGCAAGCAAGCAAGCAAGCAATATGAAATAGAAACAACTCTTGACAAACTACAGCATACTAGTATGATTTCACAGTATGTTCATATGTATTTGTGCATTATGGAAAACTTTGGAAAACTGTCCCTTTTTCCTAGCACGGTGCAACACTTTAAACACACCACTAGCTTTACAATGAACCATAAAAGAAGAACTGAGAATGGCAGAGGGCAGGATTAAAAGAAGGGAGGCTGTGAGCTGTGACACAGATTGAACCACATCAGATTCTGGCCACGGACACTATGTAGACTCTGTGTGATCACCTAATCTGAACAGAAGCATAAAATCGGCTGTGAATCAAGCTGAAGCAAAGCCAAATTGGAGCAATTTGATTTTCCAATGTAATCGCAGTCTGGGTTCTGTATGTCCTTGTAGCTGCAGGACAGAGACTGTAAACTCAGTAAAGAGAAGAAGTGCTAAAGTATTTATTCTGACCTTGCTGGGTTGCATAGTTAATGGATTCTCAGCCTCCCTACTAGCCAGAGGGCTGCTGGATTTTCTGACAATTTCTTGTTAGTTATTTTATGCAAATATATATATATAAATGTCTTATTTTACACAATCTACCTGAAATCTTAAATTGCACCACAAATATATACAGCAGGACCCCCTGATCTGCGAGATTGGTATCCATATTTGAAAATATTACAAATATTAAAAGAAAAATCCTAGAAATACATATTTCTAAAGATGAAGTTACCAGACGTGGCCACTAGATGGATCCAGAGACTATGCTATATATAGTGTTCCCTATTTAAATACTGTACACTAATGTTATGCTATAATCTACATTATTCAGCATCCAGCAGGTGCCTGGAGGCAATTCTCCATGGATGGGGGTCGGGGGGTTTCCTACTGTACAGACTCATCTTGCTATCAGATTTGTAGTTTCGCCAGCTCATGGCAAACAGTCTCTAGCTGATTACTGCCTTCTTAAGGACTAAAAGGATTTTGATTTAAGAAACAAATACTACATTAATGAAAAAAAAGTCTAATCTCCCACTCGCTCTACTGTACATCTTGATAATGAATATTGGCCCGTTATCTTGGCATGCATTCCATGCTGATTAGGAATGGCTGCTGTGCATGTGAAATGCATAATCCTGGAGCTTCAAAGAAGCTGGTGTCAGATGAAGGGTCACTCTGGCATTCTTCCCTTCCTATTAATCACAGTCCTCTCCTATATGGTATCCCTGACTATCTGGTTTTTTTTAAATCTGTCTAGCTATAGACATTGGCTGTGTTGCTGTTAATTTAGGCCAAAGATGGATGCGGTAGTTGCTAAAACATTCTGTAGCCAAAGGTGTATGGCAATTCTCATTGGATTTCATTTCTGAAGAAAACAGAATGGTAATGAGGAAAGCTCTAGGAAAAAGAGTCCACAACAACATACTTTTCTCTTTTTGTGTTCTGGCAGCTTCTGTCTTTGAAGTAAGGGTTATAATTGCTTGTTGGAAAGGTCCATTTATCTTGTATTGTCAATTATTGATGATGAATTAGCTTTTAAGGGTGTCTAGAGGAATCCTGTCTTTATGGCAGGATGCATGGAGAAGCCTTGTGTCTTTCTGCACCAGGCATCTGATTCTGAATGAAAGGTTTTCTCATATTTATTATAAATCCAGAAATTTCAGCCACATTCCTGGATGATTATCTGAGTACATTTTCCTGAACTTCCTCTTATGACTGCACAACCTCAAACAGAGTTGTTTCTGGTTTATGGAGTAGAACAAGGACCTGAGATTGGGCATGATACAGAGGCCCTTGATGTGGTACTTAGGTCTCAGAGTCCATAGTGTCAACTTGTAGTACATTCCCTCATTACGACTGCATTGTGTGGTGTAACATGTTGCCTAACTGTGTCTGTGGATAGTATAAGGTAAGTTTCTCAGCTTAATTAGCTAACAACCTAATCTTGCTACAGGTAGTATGTTAAAATTAGGCAACATGCTGGGCAAGTGTAGTCAGCTGAAGCCAAATTAAGAGTAATAAGTAGTGAGTAGAATGGAAAATGGAATCCTCAATGTTGTACGGCTTCTGTTCAGTCTTTGTGGCTATTTGGGTTCCTTTTGTCCAATCAATTGTGAAGATGGTACGTACGTACGTACGTACGTACGTACGTACGTACGTACGTACGTACGTACGTACGTACGTACGTACGTACGTACGTACGTACGTACGTACGTACGTACGTACGTACGTACGTACGTACGTACGTACGTACGTACGTATGTATATACGTGTGTGTGTGTGTGTATGTATGTATGTATGTATGTATATGTATATGTGTATATGTATATGTGTATGTGTATGTGTATATGTATGTGTATATGTATGTGTATATGTGTATGTGTATATGTGTATTTGTATATGTATATGTATGTGTATATGTATATTATATGTATATGCATATTATATATATATATGTATATGTGTATATGTATATGTGTATACAGTATGTGTATATGTATATGTATGTATGTGGGCAGGGCTGATATATACAGATATCATAAACATGTCTCTTCCCAGCAGTGTT